TAATCTTGTTCCAACGTATGTTCCACTATTTCATTCCTCACTTTCTTATTCACTTACTTCATCCTGCAAAAGGCCTGGGGGACATAAAAGTCTTACTGCGTATAGTCAGGAGTTGATCTTCACAGTTATAGATTGTAAAGTGGAAAGGAAAAATGAATTAATTAAGTGTGACTTATATAACTGTTCATTTAAAAGTTGAGCAGCTCATAACAGTAATCACCTATGACCCTTCTATTATCTATGGAAAGAGAGACATGCAGCTTATGAAAGCAATGCACGCCATCTACTTACTGTACACACATTAAAAGCAGGTGAAATGAATCCAACCTTTAAAGATAAAATCTATCAAATTGCCAGATTTTTGGTTCTAACACGTTGTTATTTTAATTATTATGGCTCATTTGAACTACTATGGCCTTAGTTTTCATTTATTCCTCCAATAGATGGAAATTATCTTCAGGTATTCAGAAGGTTAAAAATAATAATGAAAGTAGAACTTACAAGAACTGGAAGGTCTTTCATTTAGGACACAAGAACAAAATTAAAGCACCTTTTGCCTACTGAGCAAGAACTTCATTAAGTGAATAGAAGCTCTGAAGATGCATTCAAGACAGACCATATCCCTTGGGTCTGAGAGAAGTAGAGGAAAACAATTAGGATTAATGTGATTAAAATGGAAGAGCAGGCGACCTGCTACTGCCTCTGTTACAAGTGCACAAAGTTCCACCATCAATAAAGTACAGTCTCAGCTATGGCACCATGAGGAATTTGAGTCCTTTGTTGTCTCAGAGACTCCCAAGTCGGCACAGCAGAAAAGTTCACTTGAGCACACTTTTGCTATGAGTACTTGCTGGCTCACATAAAGGAAAACTAACATATTCTGAGCACAAAGATGTCCCAGTGGACTGGCAAGAAGAATGAAATTACTTCCCACTGGAACTGAAAATGAACACAAACTTCATCACTGTCTGGTCCAAATGCAAAAGTAATCTCTTCCTCCTTGCATAATAGGAATATATTAAAAGCTATACTGATAACACTGTGGAAAACTATGCAGAATGAAGGAGACCCTTTATATAGCTCAAAATAATAATAATAAATGGCAAAAAGTAATGCTAGTGAAGGGAATAAGTCAGTCTGACCACACTTGAGGCATACAAATGAATTTGACACGACTAAATAATATCTGAAACGTGGGGAAATGGACTTCTTGCACACAGACGTGCAAGTGTAGCTGTCCTCTGCATAGTATGACAACCACCCACAAGATTTCTTTCTTTCATTCTGGGTGAAGAATAACTGGGGTAAATAGTATCTGTGCAAATCAACAGGGTGAAGCTCCAGTGCCAGGAAAAACTCAGATGTGTCTACTATTGTTATCTTCACATTTCCTATGCAACTTTTTATTTGGGGGTGGGGGGAATGGGACAATGGTTAAAATGTTCTATTTAGAAGGGTAATTTTTTGTAGCTATAATGGTCAAAGGCCATAAATTATCAGAAAATATGTTGTCTTTTTTGGAAAGCTCTTGAGAATTCAGGAATTCCTGAGGTCTCCTAGAGAAGTTTTTATATAAATACATTTGCTCAGTGGCTGGCTATTCTTGCTCCCTCTTACCTCTGAAATGGTATCAGATAGAAAAATAGAAATGTCACTTCTCCTTACATATCTTGACATGCACTCTGAGCTAAGTTATTCTGGTGTCTCTTTAGTCATGGTCTTGGCCACTGAAGGAAAAATACTTTCAGAAAGAAAATGAAATGGGAGCTGTTTTGGCCCAGATGGTTAACAGAAGTGTGACTCTCAGGAACAAATGGCATGGTCTGCATCTATCCTAGCAAAGCTGAACATGCTGAACATTCCCTGGCATGATCGTTTATGCTAGTAAAGTGTTAGAAGATTTCCTGGCATGATACTGGCCCAGTGCAAGAAGTTCTTCCCCCCCCCCCTCCCCCAAACCCTCCCCCCCCAGACATAGTTTGGCAGCTGGAGCAGCCCAGGAGCCATTCCAGCAGGCAGTTTGTACACAGACATCCTGCTCTGGAGGCTGAAACACTTTGTTTGAAAAGATAAGAGATGTCCTGTATCTGCTAGTCTCACTGCTTGAAGATGTTTCTAGATACATTTAGTTTGCTGGTGTAGATGTAGCCATAGTAAAACTTGTTCTCACATGTGAGCACAGGAACAAGCCCAAATCTCAGCTGGAAAAAGATTTCATCAGAGGAAGAAAAGCTCAAGATAACATTACATTTCAGATGACTTTATTACACTGTTTGTTTTTAAACCTGGAAGGCTGAAAAAGTATTCCATAGAGGAAAAGCAATTTTCACTCAGGTGATGTAGTTTTGCCATTGTTTTTCTAAAATGGAAATTCATTTCTGGAGGACAGCAGGATTTGGAAGATATCATGGTACACAGAGATTTTTACTCCCTCAGAGTTGAAAACATTCTTCTGTCCTGCTTAATGCATCAATAAAATAAAAGCAAAATAAAGCTCATATATGCTTACTGAAAGTGATTGGAAATATAAATACATTTGCATTTCACTTAGTGAATTTAGTGGAGTTAGGTTACTAAGGTGAATGCAACAGCTTGGAACAGCAAATAGACAAAGCAGATGAAAAGAGTAGATTGTATTCAGCAGTCGCGAGAAAAAAGTCAAACAGCTTTCCCAAAATAAATAGCCAGTTCTGTACATCAAGGTCCCATGGGAGCAATCACTGCAGCTGACTCGTAGTCTATAATAAACTTTTGCATCAAAATAATATCAGTGACTTCAGAGATAGCACCAGACATGATGGATGTGCTCGACCCCTTAAACAAGCAGCAGTTTGTTACAGGCTCCAAAGGAGGCAAAAGCCTGAGCCATAGCCGGATCAAGAACTCCCCTAGTTCCAATCTGTTCTCTGAAAACCCACAAAGGAGCAGAATGACACAGTAAGCATCATGCATATGAACTTGGAAGTCTGATCATCCGATTAACACACGAATAGCAGGTGGCTTTTTCAAGACTCATTTATCAAGGAACAAAGAAAGGAGCTCCAACAGACACTGTATTTTGAAAGTTTCTGTTTATGTCTCATAAAATTGACTTTACCCCCTGCAAACCTTCCATATTGACCAGAGATTCTTTTATCAAGTGAATTAAAATAATAGAAAAATACAGATTATTGAGGAGAAATGTGCCAAGGGAAACTGGACTGCCAATAGCTTTATCTTTAGAAATGCTCGAAACATCAAAATACAATATCAGAGTCAAAGATCTGGAAGTATTATGAGACATATATTACAGGATAATGATTTTTTTGAAGGAAGTAGATGGGATAGTATTCTATTTCTGGTCATCAAATATTATATTATTTATAAAGCTGTGGTGAATGAAACAAAACTAATTTCAGGTTTTATAGAAGGAGAATAAGGAGGACCTTATGGCATTTATTTCCATTGGAGTAATTTACGAAGGAGGAAAGAGAAAGAAGGGTTAAATATAAGAATTGATTGTTTTCTGAAGCAAATGCCAGCTCTAAAATAGATACCAGTCATAATGCTGAAGAACAGTCCAGGTAACATTAGGGAGAGAGAACAGGGCGTGAAACAGAACCTCAATGGGAATCAGAGACCTAAGGCACAAAATCACATTATGGATGTCGGTCTGTATTTTGACCATGTCAATGAATCTACTTGCATTAACCCTTTTAATAAATGCCCCCAAGAAAAAAACTCAAGTACTTCATTTCCCACAGTGTACTTTTCTTATTACTTACTAATATTGTATCATCCACACTTTCTTCTGGATTAAGACCAGGAAATGCCATAAAATGTTTTGTAATGTACGTTCTGTAGACAGAGGAACTTGAAACACAACTTGGTGGTGGTTTAAGTATTAGCTAAAGATTAGCTCAATACACAGTCTTTTACTGGCATGAAATTTTCAGATATTTCTCTTCATAAGATCCATGAAAAGCCATAGGTGAAGCTATAGGTACTTTTGATTAGTCTCTACAAACACTGTTGAAATAACTGAGGATTAGATGGATTAGGTGTTTGTCCACTGCCCACATCAGTTCACAATGAGTTTATTACTGGCAGGGTCACATTTGGAAATGCTTTCTTTGGGGAAAAGAAAACAAAGCCTAGGCAAAGGAACAGCTGTGACAAACACACCTGTACAGCTGGCAATGCCAAAAGCATATTCATTTTGCAAACACTTTAATCTGCTCCCCAAATCAGGAGAGAACTAGCAAAGACCCTCATTTACTCATTATTATTGCTTAGTATGTTAGCTGTAATTTGTGTCTTGTGAACCGTTTATGTGAACTCTTAGATTATGGAAGGAAAAAACAACATAGCATGGATTCCCACCTTTTTTTAGGCTAGATGAAGAAAAAGCAGGACAAATCCTCTTACTATTTTTTGTTCTTAATACTATTTTGATCTATAGAGCTCTTGATATTACTCCTGGGATACCCTGATTAAAGACAACAAAATACTCTCAATTATTATTTATAAATTATTTAAGAATGAAGACAATTTAAAAAATAATAAGGAAATGCAAACAACCTAAAGGCTCTGAGACACTATCACTTCTGTCTTTTCTCAAAAGCATATTTTAAGTATAATACATTTTATTTTATTATTTTATTTCTCTTTCCAAAACAGTAAGGAACAGTAGGAGTATTGTGATATCCTTGACAACTGAGCATATCACTCAAATAGTGTCAGGGCATCTAAATACTTCTTAGTATATCATCAATATACAAGACTGGTTTGGAAAGGGCAAGCTTTATTCACCAGGTTAATAAAACTGAGAATACAGCTAACCTGCTCAGTACAAAAAAAAAACTCTAGGATTTTTCATCAAAATGTCATTGTTCTCTTCTGGCTTCCAAAACCAATATACAGAAATGAATGTACATCGCATTCATGAAGCACTAAGGTGGTTTATATGGAAGGCTCTGATGCAGGTTCTGTCCAGATTGAAGTTTCCAGCAGATATTGTAAAAGCTTAGGTAAAATGAAAGTTGTCTCTCCATGAAATAACTCATCTAAACACAGTAGTGAAGGTCAGATTTTTCATCTTGAGTTTTTACACAAAAAAAGGACTCTCACACCTTTTTTTGTTATTTTCACATCATTATGAAGTGGGTCTTTTTATTATTTTGGAGGTAGCAAAGGCAGAGAAAATCAAAGGTCGCAGTGAGCACACGGTCAAGACTGGTGAGACAAGGGTTTCACCAGCTACTGGAGAGTCCTCTGTGTATGGGTATATTTGTGTGAGTTTGTTAGGAATACACCCTCAGTCTCTCTTCTGGCCGCACAAAGGGTAGGAGGTTGCAGCAGCCTGGCTTTAATTGGGTAGAGAAGCAAGGTCTCCTCTAGTGCAGAATGTCCTCTGGGTTTTGTGTCTGGTGGACTGAGAAGGAAAACTTCCCTTGTCCTGAAGATTTCCACAGCTAAAGTCCCTTAAATCACAAAAGCATAAAGAATTTGTTAAAGGAAAATTCAGTTGCTGGACTGTAATCCAGTCTAAGAAAGTCATACTTACATCTAGTTCCTTAAAACAAAGATGTTTTCTTAGTATTTTCATCCCTTACAGGTATACATTTTTCTTGATTTGAAATACTAGTAGTCCCTGTTGAAATATAACAATCTTTCACGAAAGATTCAAAACAAATAGGTCCCATATTTCACATTTTTCAATCCCAGTTCCTATATTTTCAGTAAAATTATATGATTTATGTCTATTCAGTGATACAAGTCGATGCTTACTTCTGTCTACTATCGCACCTCTGAAACTTTCAGTGATCAATGATCTTTCTCTGGCAATTTTGTTATGCCATAGTTTTTTGCCTTGGCAATAATGTAGAGTAAATCTAAAGTCTTTCACCTTCGCATTGTCTCTGCTACTCAGCCACCAAAATGGAAACCGTTCCGAGTTAGTTCCTAATCGACTTCTGCATTTATGAAGCCATCGTGAAAAGAAACTTCACTGTATTGTTCATGACACTTTGTGGGGTTTCTATTCTAGTGCATTTCAGTATAAAAGTATAATGATGATTTTGCATAAATGTATAAAAGAAGCGATCAAAGAAATGTATCAGAAACTAATACACTTTGAGAAGTAAGTCACAGCTACTGGCTATCCAGCATGACATTTTACAGTTTCCACCTGATTAGCGCTATGTAGATATTAAGTTAAGATCAGGTTGGCTATTATTTAAAGCTGTTCAATAGTTATGATGATATTAGGAAATCAATTTATTTCATATCTGCTACCCCCTTGAGTATTGTTTTTTGTCTGACTGGATTGCGAAAGAAAGTAAACTCCGCAGGTTGAGATAAGAGCAGTCCAATAACTAAAGTACAATATACTACTACTAATAATAATAAGGGAAATAAAATGGGGAGAGAATATAAAACTAAAAAGGGAAAAGAAAAAAACAACCAATACACACAAGAGATGCTCAATGCAATTGCTCACCATCTGCCAACCAATACCCAGCCCAAACCAAGCAGTGATCTGGCCTTTCCAGATAACTCCTCCCAGTTTATACACTGGGCATGACATGCTGTGTATGGAATACCCCTTTGGCTAGTTTGGGTCAGGTGTCCTGTCCCTGCTTCCTTCCAGCTTCTTGTGCCTCTCCTCACTCACAGAGCACGAGACTGAAAAAGTCCTTGATTAGAGTAAACATCACTTAGCAGCAACTAAAAACATCAGTGTGTTATCAGCATTGTTCTCAGAGTAAAGTCAAACCACAGCACTGCACCAGCTACTAGGAAGGAGAAAAAATGAGTGTTACAGCTAAACCCAGGACAGCACCAGCTACTAGGAAGGAGAAAAAATGACTGTTACAGCTACACCCAGGACAACATCTACCCCTTATTCCATACCATTCACGTCATGCTCAGGTCCCACATTTTTCAGATGGTAACTGAAAATAAATATCCCTGTATTTGTTTCAACCCACAACGTTTCTCAGCCTATTTTTTTCCCTGCCCCACTAAGGAAAGGGAGTGAGTAAACAACAGGGTAAAAGTTTACCTGCATTCCAAAGCTAACTCATCATATGTGTTGCACTAAGACTGTTTTCCCCATGATATCATTTTATATTTATCTGTTTTGAATTTCATTTGATATTTTATTGCCTATATACTCTGATCTCTAAGGTACTTCTGAAATTCTTCACAATCTGTCCTTTTCCTAAGTGCCTCATATAACATTGGATCATTATTATTAGCATCATATTATGACCATATAGATCATCCCCCTTCTTTAGGTCATTTCTTAATACGTTAAACAGACTGAGTTCCAGGAGAGACCCTTGCACAACTGCTCTGATGACCATCCTGCATTGCAAGAAATGACCTTTTACTGTTACCTTTGGATTCCTCTTTTAACTGAAGATTAATGCATATGAGGGTCTTCCCTCTTATCCCATGATAATTAATGTCCTTACAGCCTATGTAGAAGCTTTTGATAAAAATCTATAGGAAATTAGAATAGGCTGTATAGTTCCTACCACTTTAACCCATATGTTTCTTAACCTTTTTAAACAGTATCTTCTACGGAAGCCAATATGACCTTCTCAAAATAAAAAAAAAGCAAACAAACATTCAAATCTTTACTAATTCTATAATTTCTTAGTGTTGCTATTAATTTTCCCATTGGATATCCTGAGTTTAAAGAACTCCCTGAGCAGTCCTGGAAACTTTTTAAGCACTGATATCCCCCATCTTTTTGTCTCCATGTACTGTAAAGTTTAAAGTGAGAGGTTATATACTACTATTAGTAATGCATTTATTGAATCTGTGAGCTCCTATACATCTCTAGAGGCAATATAATCTGGTCCTGGTAATTTGTTAGTGTTCATTATATCTGTCTATATCATAACCTCTTCCACAGTTGATTTCACAGGTGTTCAATTACAGCACTTCAACATCGCCTGGGAATCCTGTGTTGAGTTCTGGTCCAGAATCCTTTTCCCTGTCTACCTGGGCACAATGCAGGAGATTCTTCTCAAAAACCACCATGGACTGGACAGATACCACTGTGGACAGAGACTGTAGTTCTTCCTTTAATTCAGTATATTAGTGGTGTCTCTAGTTGTGGGATATCTGTTCTGTCTGTTGGGATATCATTCTATCTGTTGCTGATCAGGGTTAAAACCCAAACATCAAATATTTTAAAACCTCTGGCGTAGTTATTCAAGAAGAGACTCTTTTAAGCCCCCTGCTGAAACTGTGAGCCTTTACAGAACAACTAAATATTCATTGGGCAAAAGACTCTCTGATCCTAGTGATTAGGGTATTCATATGGCAGGGGAGACACGAGTTCCTGACATTCTAATGAATATTTACATAATTCTGTATGAAGTATTCAGTGGAGCAGAAACAGCAAGTTGCCTGACCACTTACCTATAGAATCATAATTTTCTTGCCTTTCAGCTCAATTAATTTTTAATTATGCTTCACAAAGAGGAACAGCCTCAAGAGGAGGAACTGTCTTCACACAATGTCCTAGTGTTTTGAACATCTGTCTAATGTTAGTTTTCAAAGTCCCTCAAAACCAGAAGGGAATTAAACCTGTTGCTCACACTTTCTGAGGATACTGGACAATGAAGGAACCCTGCTACTCCACCGCTTTCTTTCATCATAATCTTTGGAAAAAGTTATACAATTTCTGTGAGGAGGTTCATCATTTTGAATCACAAATGGAAGAGGCAATTATAGTTTCTGAGAGGACTACAGACGATTCCTCACTTTGCTTATTTTTTGGTTCCTGGCTAGATTTGGTGGTTTCCCATCTTGCTGGTTTCTAGCATTTCTGGTACAAATTCTCTGTGCTTCTGTGTACCCCTGCGCATTTTATTCAGAGGGCATTTCAGAATACTTAGGAATCTGGGGAAATGGGAGAATCTCAAGATTTTTAAATACCAACACTCATCATCACCATCATCACGGCTTGACTTTGTGAACGGAGATTTGGGAAGGGCTTTACCCATGCTTACTACAAGTGTGCTGATGACTAAAAAGGCAGATGTGGAATAGGCAAATCTGGTTGCAAAAGGCACAGTGAAAGGTCTGCTTGGGTGGTATAGGTAGGGTGTGATTCTTTCTACGTTGTCTTTTCTCCTCAAGACTAATTCTGCGTGAGTTCTCAAAGGAGACAACAGCGCTATGGAGCAACCAATGTCCTGAACCACCTGCATGCAGGGTTGGGTCTGCGACTTGCAGTGCACATTATCACCTGCCGTTTCATCCCTCGCATGTCACTACAGGGCTTTGTAAGTGTGGGTAAACCCTTCTGGCCTACACAGTGTTTTTTTTAGGTGAGGCACAGAGTGCACAGAACCGGCCCCACACTTTACACCTGAGGTTTATCTGCCAGGGCCTAGTGAGCTTGGATGGCGACAGCAAAGACCTCAGGTGGTAGGTTTAGTTACAGTACCCTTCTCTTAGATGGATGGCCTTACAGAGCTAAACGAGCTCAATCTTCCAGGGTTTGAAGTTAGAGTTGTCCTTCTCCTAGGATGGTTGCCTGAAGGCTAGTGAGCCCACACTTTATCTGACCCTTTAGCTGAGACCTGTCTGTCATGGGAGACCCTACTGGAGGCATATGCCACCACCAGCATAGCTCCCAACCTCACAAGGGCACCCAAGCTCTTTCCCCAAGACAAGGGGGTGTCCATGCAAGAGAAATAACAACACTGCTATAGATGTAACATGGCAAATGTATCTGTGCTTTGTGGTGTTTCATGTTGGTGGCTCTGCTTGCTATTGTGAGGCTACTTCTAGCAAAAGACAGCAAGTGCAATGGAAAGCACACAGAAAATAAATTCATGAATGAACAAAAGTGGCCTTGGAGAAGATACATTATCAAATGTGTTTCCTTCAGAAAATGTCAGCCTGTTAATATTAATCTGCAAAATTAAACTTTTCAACTGAATTCCCTGAAAGGAAAGGTGAGGGGTTGGAGGGGGAGGGGGGGTTAGGAAATGTCAAGATTTCTTCTCCACCCAATGTAAGCTAGGACCACTGTGGACAGAGACTGTGGTTCTTCCTTTAACTATATTAATAGTGTCCCTGGTTGTGGGATATCTGTCTAGTGTCTTGTCTAATTCTGTCCTTTCTGACAAAGAAAAATTAAATAGAAGCTGCTATGTGGCTGTTAGGTCTGAAATTCTGTAGTTCAGCCCATTGCAAATTTGAATCTGAATGTTTGACTTAGACCTATTCTTACCTGGTTTTGTTTGTTTTAACAAGACAAAGTGTAATTCCCTTTCATGAGGTGGTCTTTTCTCACACTGGTGGTTTATCAATGATAGCAAACCCAGAGTCCTGCTATGCTGTAAACATAAGCTGGAGACTTCACTGTGATTTGAAATACTGGAATGAATTGAGTTAACGAAGCAGGGGCAATTCAGAAGCTGGCTGACTCCAGAAAAAGAGCCTGTTCATGTGACTGTTAAAGTATTTATACTCATGTATTAATTGCCTTGTCTGGCAAACGCTGTTCACCTAGATGAGCTGTTATCTCACACCTGTACCTGCTTGTTGCAGTGATGTCTAGGCAGCATCCTTCTCATAGCTGTCAACATTATGAACTTGTGTTTTTATTACCGTGATTTT